TTTCCAACAAGCAAAGTCAATAAGGAGGCCAGATTCACTTAGCAACTGGGGCAAGGAAGGTCACCGAGTGGGGCAAAACGCACTTCACGAATGTCTCACTTAGCAACCGAAAGTTTAGCCTCAACTGCAGCCGTAAGTCCGAGGACTGATCTATTTTCTGTTTTGTTCATTAGGTCAGAAGTGAGGCAGATGGGTCTTTGTATGAGCTGTTGAATTGTTAGCAATATTGTTAAAACGTTTGCAAGGACCGACGGAGACGCTCGAGATGCAAAACTTGGATTTAACTGCTCTTAAATAATGCCAAGAAGCCAACTTCCCGACAAGGGAATTCACTGGGCAAGGAGTTGTCAGATAATAATGATTAACAAGCAGGCAGGGACAATCTGCTTTCTCTTGAGCCAAGCAGTCACCGAAACCAGTTTCAATTTAAGACCTCGCCCAGAAACAGAGCGAATGGCTGCCTTTAATGGTGGAAACCATTAGAGGCGACCAATCATCAGCCCTGCAGCTAAGGAAGGGCCAATCCTGAAATATCTTGATGAATCAGCTAAGCCGCTTTTCTCAAGGCAGGATGGGATAGAGGCTCGTTACAGAGAATAACAACCAGGAATCTCATCCCACCCCTTGGACTTTCATACAAGCATCGGAGGGAAGTCTCATTATCTTCCGTTTCTAATTTCTCTTGGTTTGTCGTTCCAAAAGGACTTGCAGGAGAACTAAAAGGCTGATGTGTGCATCAAAACCCAGCAAGCACTTCAGACTGGGGCTAGGACATGCAATGATCTACCCACAACGGGGCCAGGATCAAATCTAAGCGAAGGGAGAGGGATTTCTAGAGGAATTGGCAACTTGTCTCTGAAGCACAGAGTCCTGCTGAATTTGGGCTCGTGGCACTAGAAGAAAGGAGGGTCAATCAGAGGCAGGGATTCTGTAGAAGAGCTTTACGAAAAGTAAACTTAAGTTTCTGCTCATCATCATCATCTTTGTTTAACTATCCCATAATCCCTTGCGGGGTGGAGTCTAGGCAACTGAATGGAGCTAGCAGAGTTTGACTGGCCGGATGCCCTTCCTGTTGCCAATGCAGAGTTTTTGTTCAGCAGTGTGCCCAGAGAGAGAAATATCTGCCTCTACCTAGGATCGAACTCACAGCCTCCTGATTGTGAGGTGAGAGCTCCACCTCTACGCCACTGCACCACTCCTGTTTCTGCCCATCCGCCCACCAAAATATAGGGTCACTATTCAGAAGCAGTTGTTCTGCCGTTTCGGATTATTTAACCATACCTAACATTAAGCCAGTGTGTTAGATCAGCTTTCTCCAACATGGCAGCTTCCCCTTCAGGTGTGTTGGGATTTTAATTCTCCCGGCAGGGAGCGATGAAGACTGTAGTCCAACACACCTGGAAAGGGAAACATTTGAAAGGGGCTAATGGTATTCCTTCATTGAATGTTTCCATGTTAAGCAGTCAATCATTTCTTCTGGATCAGCCCAAAGATGTATATTAAAAATAAACACGTTTCCCCACACAACAGGTCTTAAAAAGTCCCAGAGCTGGTAGACTTGGCCTCTGAATTGTAGGTTTCCTAACCTCTCCTTCTTATTTCCCTCAATCCACTGCACATTACTCGGTTATGATCACATATCAAAGCAATTTAATGAAGCAAATATGAGAATAATAGCAATAGATGACTTCAGGAGAAAAAATCCTCAGCCATTCCTTCGTGGGAGCTACTTCCTTACTAGCGTTGGCTGGGAAGTCTGACACACATGCATACATTCCACGTGATTGGTTTCTGCTGGCATTTCTTCAAAAGTATAATTGCACATTATATCATCTATAGCTATTTTACTGGCAGCCTCACTGTAAATTTGTGGTGACAAATCAGCCCCCAGGAGCCTTATGTGTATACTAGAAGTTCTAACAGAACATTGCATTTGGGAACGGATTTTGCTGATTGTAATGCTGCATTTGCAAAGGAAAAAAAGGAAGAGTCTCTTGATGAAACAAAACAAAACTAGAGCAAGAATCAGGCTAGAAGATCCTGGATTCAAAGGCTCTCCTAGGCTGGCACCCAAATACTCAACAAACCAGTTCCAAAATTAGGTAACGCTGACCAAATCACATGGTTGTTTCAAGTGATTCCCATAGGAGAAATGCGAAGCTTTACACCTAGAACTCATGAAACTGCCAAAACAATCTCTCTGGTAAAAAAAATCCGGCTTTGAGAAGCTCAGACACATCTTTCCTAAAACAGAAAAGGCTAAATGGTCTGTAAATCATCACCTATGAGTCTTCCTCCCACTGTCCTAACTTAGAAGCTGGCTCTGGATAGACTGTGATTGCCATTTCTTAAGCAAATGTGTTTAGCTTTCTAGTCAGCTATGCCCTTCTCCAAATTACAGGTAGTTCTCAACTAAGGACCATAGCTGAGCCCCAAATTTCTGTTGCTAAGTGAGACATTTGCTGAGTCTTGCTCCATTTTACAACCTTTCTTGCCACCGTTGTTAAGTGAATCACTGCAGTCAAGTTAGTTGTTAAGCGAATGTGGCTTCCCTACTGCCTTTGCTTGTCAGGAGGTCGAAAAAGGGGACCACTTGATCGAGGGACATGGCAACCATCATAAATATGATTGCCAAGCGCCTGAATTTTAATCGCCTGACCATGGAGCTGCTGCAACGGTCATAAGCATGAAAAATGGTCATAAGTCACTTATTCAGTGCCATTGTGACTTTGGTCACTAAAAGGACTGTTGTAAGTTGAGGACTATTTATATTCCTTTCCATTCCTCCCACCCTCCATTTTATCTCTTCCAACTAAACCCAGCATTGCATTCACATGCCCAGTCCTTACTGATGTCAACAGAAGAGAATTATTTGTAGCTCAGGGTTGAACTGCAGAGCCCATGGTGCTGAGCTTGGCTGTTTGCGTGCAAATATTTCATGGTTACCTAGTTGAGGGCAGGTAACATCCAAATATCCAAGTAAACAACCAAGCTCAGACAGCATCAAGGACTCTACAGTCTTTACTGAATTAGGGATTTTTTTAACCAAAAGATAAAATTGAATGGTTTGGAATTTCAGAGTCTGAAGTGCTCGCCACCCCCACCTCTTCTCGGTGACTCGGTTTAAATTGTGGTTAGCATATATTGCAAGCTTTCTTGTAAAGGAAGTGATGCACAGGAAGTCTTCTGAACAACATTAAAGCAAACAAAATGTTATACATTATTGAGTAACTCTGGCAGAAGGGAGGGGCTGAGAACAGAGAATATGCTGGGCCTAGATACGAATCTGAAAAGGAAAGAACTACAAATTCCACAGAAGGAAGTGGTATTTAAATTGCAACGAGTGCCTTTTCCTTTAAATTGGTACATGGTAGAGCTGGGGGCCGGGAAAACTGAAAGAAACCTGGCAAGATTTTAAACAATAAATGTACCACTCTACTTCCTAAACATAAACAGTTGAAAATAGTTTTAAAATCTGTCTCTCTCCTCTAATGTACTTAAAGGAGGACAAGATAAAATTGCCATAATCGTTATGTCATGCTAGAGGAAGCTCCACCCCAAAACTGAACAGCCATTACATGTCAGGAAGTGGTTTCTTTTTAAAAGAGGCCTCTAATAAAATAAGCCTCTAATAGAATAAGGGAAAACATAACTCTCTAGCAAAGTTCTTCCTGAAAGCAAATACAAACTGACCGCAAGCTATAATTTTCTTCTCCCACCATCTCTCAGTGTCTAGAAGAGTTCTCATTCTGGACTGTTAACACTATTCTAGCCAGCATGGACTGGGGAAGATGGGAGATGTAACAACAGATATAGAAGTGCAGAATTCCAGGCAACACAGGGATAAAAGACGTTGTGGTGTCTAGACTTTTGTGGCTGATCCCAGAAACCAAAGCAGAGTCAATCAGGTTATTATTTGGAGGAGAAGCCACTAGGAAATGCAAGGCAGGAAATCAGAAACACCTTGGGGGGGGGGGGGGGGGGGATTAATATCTACACATGGATGTGCCTGTGTAACCACCCCAATATCAATTCAAATCCAGGGACTCTTACCTTCGTCCAATCCAAGTAGCAGCATTTAAGATAGTAAAGAGGTGTGTGTGTGGGGGTGTTTCAGCCCCTGAACGGATTATCAATCCAGAGTCTTGACTAGGGAGTTAAAACCGTTGAGTTGAATTTGCCTTGATTTTATCCCCGCTTCCTTGTTTGGTCTTTGAATTAGGGCAGTTCCTTAATCCAAAGGCCAAAGAGGAAATGGGGGAGAATTAAAATTTGAACCAGAAGCATCTGAGATGTACCAAGGGGCAAAATGTTTGTTGAGTGAGTGCATTAAAAAAAAAATCTTAATTTATCCAGAGGCAGCTAAGCATGATAAGAAACCGCAGCCCCAATACATACCTAATGGATGACTTCAGGGCAGGGCCTCTTCCAGCTTGGCTACCTGATAGTAGTGTTGTTGTGGGGCAAATAGGAGGAGGGGGAATCTATGTACACCACCCCTTAGCTCCTAAAGCAATAGGAGCTATATAATTCTAATATAATTGATTAGAATTCTAATAATTAGACTACTTATATTTATTAGAATATATTCTAATATAAATATATTCTACAAATATATTAGAATTCTAATAAGCACATTTATTTATTGGAATATTCCATATATAATTAATAATTATATTACATATAATTCTAATAAATAATAAAAAAACACGTTCTTAGGGTACCAGGCCGGGGGAGGCTGCAGATATTTGGGATTAACACCCCGCATTGCTGGCTGCTCTTTTTAAATAAAAATATAAAAATAAAATAGAGAAATTCCTCTTCCTGGCGACCGAAGGGAGAAGGACTCCCTCGCCCCAGTGTTTTAAACGGCGTCATGTTTTATGGAGAAGCCGGGGACGACGACCAGGGTCTCTCCCTGCCCGATTCAACCCCGCACCCCTTTTCCTGGAGGGGAAGAGGCCCGTGTAGTTGTGGAAAGGTGGCGGGCGTGGCGTTACCTGAGGATATTGTGGGCCTCCATGCTGCGGTTTTGGTTACTCGAGCAAACCACAGCCACCCGGAGCGGCGAAGAGGGCATGGCTGGCTGGCGGGGCGCTCCCCCCCGGCAAGAGGTAGAGAGAGTAGGGGCTGGGGAGGGGTGGGGGCCGGCGAAGGGCCCGCGGCGACGCTCCCGACGGCGGCGGGGAAAGACAGGACTGCTCCTCCCGGCGACGACAGCGGCTTCCTCCTTCTCCCTCACAAACAAAATGGCGGCCGCGCAGAGCGGAAGAGGCGGGGCCCGGCGACGTGTTGGGCCCTTCCGCCGTCCTTTTCACTTCCGCTCTTCGGGGTTGCCCCCAAACCATAGAGGGGAAGGGGCAGAACGGCCGTCCAACCTCCTCACGTTTCGTTGGTTATAGTTCCGTGAGATAAGGTTGCGGGTTTTTTGTGTGTGTGTTTGTTTTATCCCACAGCCTGGTCTGAGGAGAAACGGGATTATGGGAGATAATTCCCATACTCGCTTCTCTCTAGAGTATGATGGAAGCCGTTTCCGGCGCTCCATAAAAGGAAAAGGCCTAAAGGCGGGGAAACAGCGCCGCCCTAACGGCCGCGGAGCAGCTGTTGTACACCGCACCATGCATAATCCGTTTAACCGCCGTCGTTTCGCTCAAGACATCCTGGGATTTGTAGGCGACCGTCGAGCGTTCGGCCCGAAGCGGCCTTTTCGCCGCCCGCAGGAAATACATTTCCCATGACCCCTTGCTGTTACCTCAGGGAAACGCAAAGAAATGGAGTCCTGAAAAGCGGGTAGAAGATTCCTGACAGGCTTTCTTTTCGAACAGGGCCTTCCAGAGGAGCGGGGACTACACCTCCCATGCTGGCTAGGTATCCCCGAGTTATGGTCTCACAGGTCCAACTCTGAAGCTGGCTTCCCTTCAATACAACGAGGCTGCATTCACACAAGACGCTTATCCCAGGCATGAAAATCAAGCCTACTTTCTACTTATTTTAGACACTAAGTGTCAAACTAACCCAGATTTATATTTACATCATGTTAAACTATTTTAAAAAAAGACTCAGATTCAGTTTTGACCAAAACTAGTATGTTGTGTGAATGCCATTGTTAAAGAGTTAATATTGAATATCTTGATTCTACACACCACCTCTAACCAACTAACTAACCAACTAACTAACCAAGCCCACTTGAGCTTAGTGTGTGGCGTCGACCTTCATGGTTAGTTTAGGGACTGGCTTGAACAAGCCATGTTTATAAATGCACAACATGGTTTATTCCATGAGGAGAACATCAGTGCTAGGTTGTAGCGTGGCTGGCTTGTCTGTGTGCAAACCTGAACAATACAGGTGTGCATCTACAAAAAAAATGGGCTTCTTTCCCAAGCTTTTCAGCAACACCAGACCAAGATTTGTTAAAATGTAGGCTCAAGCATCCTTAGAAAACGCGCCAGAGAAATTTAACTGCAGTGCCTGTAATATAACTTTACCAGCCCTTCAAACTGTAAAATCCTCCACTTGGAAGATTGAAAAAGAAAAAAACCGTTTTTTAAGACATCAGGGTTAAGAAAACATTAAATTGCTCTTCTCCTTTCCTTTCTTGTGAATTTTCACTTTCCTCTTGGTAGGAATAAAAAACAAAAGCTGGAAGAAGCCTGAAAAAAAAAAACTCACATTCTGGACCCCTTTCTCAAATAATAAATGAAAGCTACCCCTCTTCTCCCACAAGGCTATAGCAGATGTAAATAATCCCAACAGGAAGACCTTGTTCAAAACCAAGAGACAAGTTGCTCAACTGACTGTCCTCCGTGCACTTTTTAATCATTGTAACGGTCTCCCAAATCAGCTTTTTAAAAAAATTGCTTTCGGTTCCATTAAACACACTTTTCCTACGTTTTCGTCAGCAGAATTTGACATGCCGGCCTTCCTAAAAACACTTCCGGTGAATCCCAGCCACCCCAAATTCTTTGTAGTCCTCCCGCGTAAACCACATCGGTTGAAAAGATACCAAGTTACTAATAATTGAGGCGCCCACCCAAGCTGCGCAGGACCTTTCTGGGGGCGTGATGATCCGTATGGGAACCCCGTTTGGGACTTGATGCTCGATCTCTTTAAAGATTCTTTCATCTAAGCCCTGGAAAAGAGATGACCCTCCTGACAGGACCACGTTCCCATATAAAGGAGCCCAAATGTCCTGGTCGCATTTCCGGATACTCCTGGTGATCATGGTATGGATGCCTGGTGCCTCAACACTGATGGTCTTGGGCGTGAAAAGAATTTCTGGCGCTTGGCAGAGATCCAGTTGGATTTTGAGGGTATTCCCATCGGGCAGCTTCATAATCTCTTCCACTTTCTTCTGAGCTTGTTTGGGATCCAAAGCCACGTAGCAACAATTCTCTTTGATGAGCCTCAGCGTGGCTTTCTTGGCTCGGGCCACTAAACCAGGTTTGTTCTCCAACAGGAGATTGGCCAAGTAGTTTGACACGTCCCTTCCTGCCAGAGGGAGCCTGGACACCCCATGAGGTAAGCAGTATCCGTCATAAATTGGGACAGCATGGGTTACTCCATCTCCGCTGTCCAGCACCAAACCAGTGGTACGAGCCGAAGTGTACAAAGCTAGAGTAGCTTGGATCGCAAGGTACAAAGCTGGAACTTTAAAGCTTTCAAACATCAGCTCTGTGGTTTTTTCCCGATTCTTCAATGGATTCCTGGGGGGCTCTGAAAGAAACGCAGGCCTTGTACTGGGCTTCACTTCAAGTTCATATCTGTAGATATATCTCAGCAGCTTCTCCATATCATCCCAACAGGAAATAATCCCACGTTCCACAGGATAACTCAGCAAGGCCCCTTTCTTGAACAGGGCTCTGCCCCCAATATAAATTTTATCTGGTCTCTCTCTGAAACGACCAACAACGGTTGGGACAATGCACTTCGGTTCAGTTCCCCCAGAAATCCCAGCTTTGCAAGACCCAGATCCATTATCAATTATTACAGCTGGGGTTTGTAAGACTTTGACATTCATCATGGCTCTGCCGTTGAAGGAGCCCAAATAGTAGGATTTAGATCTGGGCGGTGTTTTTTTTTCTCACCAGAATGACAGATAACGAAACATTCTCAGGTATTTGACATCACAAATGGACAGGTTCTGCCCCAGTTTGCTCCTTTAAACAAACAAGTTGGCAAACTCCTGAAGCTTTGGACCATGTCTATTTCTGGCACTAGCTGAAGCTAATAGAAGCTGATCCAGAACTTCTGGAGGGCAGCAGGTTGCCTGCCTCTGACTTAAATTTCCATTCTCCTGAAGAATCCTGGAAATAGCAGTGAGGTGGAATTTAACTATCTTGACCGTGCTTCTTAAATTCTTCTTAAAATCTTCTTAAATTCTAACGTCTTTCATGATAGCACAATATAGGCAGGCAATTAAAATAATTTTCTAAACACCATTAGCCCCATTCAGGAATTTTCTCCTAAACAGATTCTGACTCATTTACTTGCTAAACAGACAAAATATTTTAGCCATGCTTCAGAGGTGGAGTTGAAAGATACATAGGTGTGAACAAGCAGCACATTCCATCCCCATGCTTTGCAGCAACCGAAAATAAATTGATCTAGTTGTTGAATATCAAATGCTGAAGATCATTAACACAGCAGAGCTCTGAGTTTGGGGGCTATTGGATGTAGTCAGGAACTACTATGGAAAATCCCAAAGATGTCACAAAACAAATATGAACGGATCTAAGAAGAGAAAGACCCCCCCCCCCCCCCCGTTTAATAAATTTGGAAATATTTCCATCAGACACTGAGTCCTGTATGGAAGAAGAATTTCTCTCTTTGCAGAATCTTAGCATGGGAAAGGAAGAACAGCAACCTCTAAGATTCCATGGCCAAAATCATATTCAAATCTAGGTTTTTCCAGTCCTGATTCACCATCCTAACTCTTTTGGTGCTCTTTTGAGACTTCTCATCTCTAATTTCCCTGTGAATAGCAGATCTTGACTCCACTAGATGGCAGTCAAATGTTGTAAAGATTTGAATCCTTGGAGCAGGGGGGAAAAAAAACGTGGGAGGGGGGAGGAAGGAAAGGGTTAAAAAAGTAAGGATGGATTCTTTTTCCAGCTAAGGTTGTCAATTGGCCAGGGAAGAAATGGGACTGGTCAGCTCTGCATTTCAAAGAGATGCAAAAGGCACAAATCAACCCCTATAAAGCTTTTAATAACACTGAGGCTCGCTGGCAGATCCCTGCATAGCACACAAGATTCCCACCTCTGATCCCAGTAGCTTTCTTAAAAAACAAAACAAAAAACAGCTCACTAGTTAGAAAACACCATTTTCTTCTTGATTCCTCCAGGAAATATGGACAGCCATAACCAAACGAGGACAAAGAATCCCTTTGGAATGAGAAGAATGAAAAGAATTCTGGTCTAGCCTGTGTTTTGTAAGGCCAAAGCTAAATCTTGCAGTGTTTACCCCACACATACCTACTTAAAAGTTTTAATTATTAGCTTTGGGAAATATAGGTAGCTGAGGATTAAAAAAAATGCTCCCTCCAAGCATAGGTTTTTGAAGGAGGGATTAGTTGAAGTAACACCAGATTTTTGTGATGGATGTACTAAAGATAATCTTCAACATAGGACCACAATTGAGCCCAGAATTTATGTTGCTAAGTGAGCAATGTGTTGAGTGAGTTTTGTCCCCATTTTACAACTTTTCTTGCCACATTTGTTAAGTGAATATCCCTGCTGTCGTTAAATTTGTAACATGGTTATTAAGTGAATCTGGTTTCCCCAATTGACTTTGCTTGCCAGAATGCTTGTCACCTGACCACTGGACATTGCAACCGTCATAAAATATGAACCAGCTGTTAAACATCCAAAAGTTAATCCCCAATGGGGGATGCTGCAACGGCCATAAGTTTGTAAAATGGTCACAAGTCATTTTTTGCAGTGCCGTTGTTACTTCAAACAAACTGCTGTCACTCAGGGACTACCTGTTCTGCTTTGAAGCCACAGTCCGAACAGCTGTGTTTGTAAAAATGATCACGCTACATCCATTGCGCTCCAGCAGAATGCAAGTCATAGCAAAACAAAGATGGGGTGAGCTTTTGCCTACTAAAACCCCCTTGGCAATTCCAATTATAGTACAAAGGCACCGGTGCAAAGAGAAGCTGTAAATAAACTCTTGACTCTGTTCCATTTGGCAAAAGGAGCTGTGATTGGCAGGGAAAGGGCGGGAGCAATGGCACACACAATGACAAACAAACAGGAAGGATGTGCCAGCTTTTACCCTAAGAGGGTCTGTTTCTTTGTGATCAGTTTTTTAATTTGTTGATGAAGCAACATTTGGACTTCCTATGTAGCAGGATTGATGCACAGCTTGGGCACCCAGAGCTATCCATGGTGCTTATTTCTCTCTTGGATCCAAGCCTTTTACAACACAAACTCTGCCTTGCTTCCTTTAGCCTTCCTAGCTTTCTCCCCCCTTGACTTTGCCTTGCCGGAACTTAAGTTTCTCTCTAGTCAGCTGAGAAAAGAAAAAGTTAAAAATCTTAAGACTGTATCCATCTTCGTTAAGATTTTCAATGGCCCTTTTTTGAGGGCGGGGATATATTCCAATAATGCACAAATGCCCACTTTCATTTTAATAAGCTGCCACACCTTAAAAAAAGTTATTAGTGTTATTAGTTACTAGTGACAGTTATTAGTGTAAATCAAGACTATCTGGTGAAGAAGGGAAAGGCAACCTAGCAAGAGTACCTCCATCTGTATGTAGCCATGAATTCACCAAAAGGGCTGAGCAGTTTTAACAAAATGAGCATCCACTGTATTTTGCATAATATTTGACTTTTTTTTTTTTTGCACAACTATGTAGCTAACCACGAAGTCCCAAATCTAAAATGTGGAATGCTTCAGAAGAATTATCCCTGCCCTCCACATATACACTTATGATGGAGGGAGGGAATTAAGCAGGACTCCCATTCAGCACTATTAACAGGCCTCCCAAAGAGAGCAGAGCTGGTTTAGCCTACTTTGAAATCAAGGAAATAATAAGATATATATCATCTCAAAAGAGCCAGTTTAAATCATTCTGACCAGACCCCTAAATCCTCCCCCAACCTCTCTCTCTCTCTCTCTCTATCTATCTATCTATCTATCTATCTATCTATCTATCTATCTCATTTTTACCCATCCCTTTCCTTTGCCTGAATTGGCAATTGGGACTGAAGGAAAGGAGTGGGGGGTTGTGCACCTTTATTTACAGCTCTCTGAGAAAGCTGTCTGGTGCAGTTGCATTTCTATTCCTGCCTCACACGTGCTCATCATCCGATTTAAAAATAGATCTCCCTTCCCATCCTGTTTTCTATTTGTCAATAGGACGAGGAAGGTGCTTTCTTCCTCTTTCCCCATCCTGGCTCTTCTCCTCCCCCCTCTCATTTTTAAGGAAAAAACCCTTCATTTGGAGAGAAGGGGAGGGAACAAGGAGAGACAAAAGAGAGAAAAAAGTTATTTACAGTCACTTAGGTAGACCAGAAGGGGTGGGGGGAGAGTGAATAAGGATATATTTTTTGCTTAAAATTTCTTGCTAGTGATAGTTGTTTTTTAAATATATTAAGCTCCTTGCTGGAGGAAATCTGTATCAATCATGCTATATATTTTGAGAGACAGCATAGATTTGGAAGCTGGTCTGTTGAGCAGGGAGTTATCTCTCTGTTCAGTAGCTGCCAATTTCTGATTTGCTTCCCTGGTAAATTACTGCTTTTATTCCCCTTCCCAGCACCTTCTGCCTATGAACAGAAAGACATAAACAGACACACACACTCTCCCCAGGACTATTCATACACCAAATTCTGATTTTTTTTTCTCCTTGCAGGCTTCTTCCAGTCTCCATGCTTTACTTATTGGGCAGCATAAAACAAACATAAAGTGTTTCAAACATAAAGTGAAATTCATCTCTTATCAAGTTGAAGGTCAAGTTTGGATGATCAGACTTTTTCCTTGAGGGGTGAGCTTTCAACATGCAGTTGAGGTATACATGGAAACATCATCAGGTGTCCTATCTCTGCTATCTTCAGAGCAACGTACTGTACAGTCCGAGAACCAGAATTCTTTGGAGCATGAACAAAATCCTTGCTCTTTTGGAAGTGGGAGGAACAGAACTCCAAAGGTGAGCTAGAGAGGAGGCCAAGTTAAACTCGAGGAGCCAAGTTCAAGAAAAATGAGAAGATGGAAGCTCAAATACCAGTCTGTAGACAGGAACAGGAAGTAGATCTATACCCTACCTGAAGTTAAGACTACAATCTGAGATTATGGTATCCAGCACAAGCCAACATAGGACACAGCCTCAAGTTGTTCTATTATTGTTGTTACAAATATTACTTGAGCAACCACATCCATATCGATGCACCTGAGCCCCATCTTTTGTAAACCTGGGATTATGATGTAACTGTGCAAAAACAAACAAAAAAAAGTTGACCCATACTCTGTTTTTAATTCACTTTTATTTGTTCTTGATGGAGAGGCCTGGGAGCCAGTGAGCTGCACATGGCTCTCAACCCATTCCTTCATGTTGCATGGTGACAAAGAAAAACCTTGCTCCTCAAAGGAATTTATTAAAAAAAAAATAGCAGCAACCATAATAAAACAAACAACACATTTGTTCCTCAGTTTCCACTGGGAACGCAAGGGGAAAGAATGAGTGGACATCAAATCTAAAAGCGCACAAACTCGCCTAGTGAAAGCAACTACAGTAATGGAGGAGTTTGGTTATCCTGTAGAACAAAAACTGGGAAAAGCAGAGGACAAGATTCAGCCTGAAGGTACAGGATTATGATTAACATAGCCTGGCTACATTGGAGCTATCACAGAAGCAGTGGGGTACAGCAGAGGATGACAATCTGACACAAGTGTTGTAGAATTTGCTTCTTAGAATTCAAAGCTGTGGCACAATCTCAGTTTTCAAAGCCCTTAAAACATCCTGCAGAGCAGCCAACTGAAAGACTAGTAGTTCTATTAGTGCTTCTAACATTTAACTTGGCATTTGGGCTTTCTTTCCTCCCCTGCTCATCTTGTTTTCCTTCCGGGTTGTTTTGGAATTTAGATTGTAAAACTAGCTGTAAAAACTGCATTTTTTAAAATATCAATCATTCTGTCAGTCTTTTGTCTGGAGACAGGATAAAAAGGCTATAGAATGAATCAGTGCTTTTTAAAAAAAAACACGCACACACAAAACAAGTATCACTCCTACTACTCCAGCCTTTTGCCCTTTGCTTTGGGCAGTAGAATGTCTTGGGTTGGTCCTAATTTTAATTTTATTTATTTTCAGTTTTGAACTTGGATGTCAGCACACAAGGGCCAGAATGGAAGCCAAAGGACAAAACTGACTACAGTGGTGAAATGTTGACATCTCCAGCCAGAAACCCACTTTGTCTTTCGTTACAAAGTTAATTTTCTTCTTTCACGGTAACTCTTTCTCATTATTTATTTATTTATTCATTTGTTTGTTTGTTTGTTTGTTTGTTTATTTATAAGATCAAGTACCGTAGTTTGTCTACAATTTTATAAAAATGTCCTAAAAGCTATCCCCAGCCGAAAATTGAGGTTACAGCTAGAGTTCTGGATTCATAAACCTGGCTTAACCATAAATTATTAAATAAACCAGAATAGATTGGATCTGCATAACACACTAGGGTATTAATCAGGATTGTCGATAAGGGAATAATATTAAAACTGCTCAGATTAAAGCCAAAGAGGAATGTTAATAATGTAATTTTCATAGGTTTCTAATTGCTTATATTTACTTTTTTGTTCTTTCTGTTAGTCATCTGGGGTCCCAGATGGTAGAAAAAAGTGGGATATAAGTTAATAAATGCTGTTGTTTGTTACAGTTGAAATTGACCAGACTTGTAATTGCCACTTTTATGCAATAAGCCTATTTTGCTCAGTATTTATGTTCCATGTTGATTCATATTTCACAGTGTATTAAATTCCACATCCACAAGTACATGAATAGATATCCAATGATACTTAACTAACGTTCATTACTGCAACTGAACATACACTTACCTGGGAGTAAACTCATCGAATAATGAAGTTTATTTCTCAGTAGGCATGCATAGGATTGCACAGTAGGCACCTCAGAGGATTGCACAATAGGCACCTCAGAGTTAAATTATTTCAGCGCAAAGTTGATCATTTTTCTCCTGAGCACTGATCCAGGGAAAAACGGATGTTATTCTCATCAGCAACAGCAACATCTAAGCACATGTTTCTAAAAACACTCATCATCATCCTCTCTAAACCAGTCCTCAAAACGTTTCAATTTCTTGGAACGATACATATAACTTCTTTGACATTGAGTTGAGCTAGGAAATTCAGTATCTTTGTCTAGCCAGCCTGAAACTTTTTTTTTTAAAAAAAGGAAAGTGAAGCATTTGAAGGCAAGATAATTGGAGAAACACAAGGAAACGGGGAATTTGCTACATATAGCTGCAGCCCAAGGAATGATCAGTATTACAATGCATCTCCTTTCAGAATGGGTGAGGATGGGAGAATCTTAGAAGCAGCATTTGATTTCAGTTTTTTGAGTGTAGTAGTCTTGAAATATTATGACAAGGTAGAGTGGATCCTGCTTTGGCTGAATTGGCAAACAGTTCCTACACCGCACCTGGATTGAAAACACTTTGTTTTATCAGATCAGCCCTGCCTTGACAATTTGCAGCTCTGACAGGGGATAAGTCCACATCCCGATCCCAAAATGTAGGTTTCCCCCGGGTTGATTCAGATTTCAGATGAAAGCTTTTCCAATGCACGTGGCAGGGAACAGAACCTTTTCCTGTGCACACAGCAGCTTCTGGGTTCGAGCCCAGCAATCAACCACGCCGAAAACGCCCTACGGGAAATTGGGCAAGCTGCAGTGGGAAACTGCTTTACATCCAAACCATCCACTGAAAAGCTTGCCCTGCCGCATCAGGGCAATTCACCTCTGGATCCACCTCCAGCACACCTTTCAAGAGAAAGTCATCTCCCCCCCCAAAAGCAGCCAGGTCACTGGAGGGACCAGGTGAAGGAGCTGGCTTGTTAAGTCAGAAAGCCGCCCTCGTCCCCTTCCTCGTAGGGCAACCTAGAATTTTCTCCTGGCTCCAAAAGGGGAAAAAAAAAAAGGCCAATACGAAGTTGAGTTCAGCTCAACTCCCGGCAACGTGGTGGATGCACCCAGGCAAGTTTTTTTGTTTTTTTTTGAGCCATGCTCCAAAAGTGGTTTGCCCTTGCCGTCTTCCCAGAGCCTACACTCGTGAGATCTCCTGGTGGTCTCCCATCCAATCCAGCTTCCCAGGCTCGCTCCAGTCTGCCAAATCAAAAAGCCTGGGGTCTAATCCTCAATGGAAGAAACCCTTTACTCTTGGGGGGGGGGCGCGGGGAGAAAGGAGAGAAAAATCATCTCGAACTCCTACTCTTCTTTCCAAGCCAGGGACCGAGAAGCGATCCGGCTTCTGTCAAAAACTACGGCTCCCAGAATGCCTCAGCCGCCCCTACAGCGCTTTATAGCTCCGGCCGGGACTTGCGGGATTTGTAGTCCCGCGCTGGAAGGAGGCTGCTGGCTCAGGGCTGCTGCTACTGCAGCAATCGGGCCAAAGCGGCAGAAGATCCGACGGGCCGGGGAACGGCGAGCCCGCCCTCCAAAGGCTGCCTCCAAAGCCGGCAGGGGCTTCAGTTGCCCCGCTTGGCCGAAGCGGGCGTGAGGTTCTCGGTCAGGTAAGCCACCAGGAGGCAGATGAGGACCAGCATGACGCAGATGGAGCCCCCGACGGCCGTCATGGCGACCACGATGTCCCGCATGCCGGCCGGCTCCACGGTGAATTCCACGCACTCGGCTGGCTCGGCCCCGCCGCCGCCGCTGCTGCGGTTGGCGTCGGCCAAGAGGGGCTGCAGGCAGAGGCGGTAGCGGACGCTGCCGTGCGGCTCAGCGAGCAAGTAATCCCGGCAGGCGGTGCCCAGCCGCACGCTGTCGCACTGGAAACGCGTGTAGGCGCCTTCCCACGAGCAGGAGAGCGCGAAGCCGCGCAGCGGAGCCAGCCGCTCGGCCGGCCAGGCCCACTGCAGCAGGACGCTGCCGTTGCGGAGCACGTTGGCCAGCAAGGCGCGGCCGGGCGAGCGATGAGCCGTGCAGCGCTCCGGAGCGCACTGGAAACCCCGCGCCGGGCTGCGGAAGCACAGCCGTCCCGGCCCGTCATCGCTCAGCACCTTGTAAGGGCACCACGGCTCCCCGACGCCTCCCGGCTCTTCCCGGGCTTTGCGCGCCTTCGGGGGGGTGGCGCCCCAAACGCCCGGGCAAAGCAGGGCCACCCAGAGGCAGAAAGCCAACATGCTGGCCGGGCCCGGGCATGGGCAAGGCTGGATCGAGGTGCTCTTAACGCGGCGCCGCCGCCGCCGCCGCCCCCGGAAAGCCGGCGCGGCAGGCTGGGACGATCGCCGACCGCCCTCGCCTTGGCCGGCCAAACGGCGGGGACATTTTCAAAGTGGCCGCTTGGAGACGGCACCCACCCTGGCACCTCCGCCCCGGGGAGGGAGGGCCAACTCCGCCCCTGGCCAGCCGCTTAACCTGCCTCCCGGCGCCGTCCTTGAGTATCTCAACGGGTTGGGAAGAAGCGGCCGGGTTTCTTGGCAGCTTGGCCGGTGTAGAGGTGGCTTGGCTGGCTCGGGCCATTAAGAGGACCCCGAAGTCCCCGCGAGGAAGGCTGCTTCTCTCCAAACCTTGGTGCGTGTGGACTCAGCCACTTTTGCACCCTTGCTCAAATCCAGCCTTGCGTTGAAATCCAAGCGGGGTTAGAGCTAGTGTAAGGCTTGGATGAGAAGCCATAAGGAAAGCCTGGCGTTTATTAATCAATAAACATAAATATTTTAAAAAAATAGACTGGGAAGTGCAAAAACACTGTAGAAGAAGGCAATGGGGGGGAAAACTGCCTAGTGAACGCACTTGGATACTCCTTCCGCTTGTAGGAGATTATTCTCTTTTGCTGCCATCCCAAGAAATGTTTACTGTTGGAGCCAAGTCCTTTGAAAAATGCCAGCCTTTGCAGGCCATTGCAGAATTTGGCTCCCCTGCAGGGGGAACAGCCAGCTCTCTGCAAACAAGACATTAATAAAACCTTGTCAGGGACACCGAGCTGTCTTGGCTGCAAAGGAAGCCAAATTTAGAACCCACTCAGTCTAAAAAGACTCACCGTGCTCGTGAGATCAAAATAAGAGTTTTGCAGAGCCAGGTTATTTTTCTTGTTTTCACCCATAAAAAAGGAAGCCATTATTCTGGAATTAATTCTTAGCTTTCCCCAAAGATCCAGAAACAAGTGACAAAGGCTAGGTTCACATCTTTACATCCTTGGTTTACCTAACTGGTGGCTTGAAAATCCACTGAGCATCCTTAAAAAACGGCAGGGCGGAAAAAGTTTTGTGTGGAAAGGTAAAAAGTTTCTTAGGAGGTGGTGGGAAGCAAAGTCCCACCTTCCTTTTTGATAAATACTTAGTGACTTGACCACCAGGGGGCACCCAACACATACTTTCAAAATTCCACACCTTCTATGCTCCCTCTAGCCCCACCTCCCTCCCCCCACAAAAAAAAAGTTTTGCCTTTTTGCCCTAGGGAATGTGCACTTCCAGTTAAGCTTGGAATCCTAATAGAATGAGCTTAATTAAAAAGAAAATGCATTGGCTATATATGCTGAAGCTGGACCATTTAACCCAAGCTGAGAAACTGAGCTGGGGGAGAGCAAGGTTACTCAGCCCTGAAGCTCCCTGGATGACTTTGTTTCAATCATTTTGCCCGGCCTGGGTTATAGAAATGTCGTGAGAATGCTGTAATTGCAGACAGAAGGTTCATGGATGAAAAGAGGTTAATCAATGCAAGGGAAATAAAAACAGCTATAGTCTCCACTGGAAATTTAGCAGTGGATGTGTCTTTTCCAAGATGGTCCAAATTGCTCGCAACATCAGTTCTTCCTTGCTAATCCCACCAATTAGACTTCGTTTGTTTTCCCTTACCATAAATTCTCCCCTTAAAAAAAAAAATCAATGGTAGCTTTCTGTCTAAAAAGAAGTAGAATTGGAGCTGTGTTTTTAGCTGGAGAGGAAGACAGCTGTGGGTTACTCAGTTGCAGAACAGGGTCTCAAGTTGGCCTGTTGGTGTTCAAGGCAGATAATCTGGAACAATCTCCATAGAAAAGTTAGGGAAGTCATCGTTGTAGGACTGATACAAGCCAGGACCAGGAGGATCAGAGTGGAAAGACAAAGGAACAGTATGTGCAAACTAAGCCATGCAAGAAAATTTCCCAGAGAAAGATGGATAATTGGATAGAAAACCCTCTATATTCCTTTCTCAGAGCCGATAAAATCCATCCCATCAGAGATTTAAAGCACACTATAGACCCAATTCCACTAATGCAATAAACATGATTCCAAGATGCAGACTTATTAAAAAAGTCACTGAAGAAGCCAACTCGTACACAACAGAATTCAGTGTTTGCTGGGGGGGGGGATGACATTTTTAAGCATTGGCAAAACAGTATTGAAGAGAGCATGAAATTATACCTCCAGAGAGTGCCTAAAAACTCTGTGGGTTGATTTGAAAGGGAGGACATTCCACCCCATTGAATCCCAAGCATTTGAAGCAAGACAACAAACCTTGGGATTTCATCCAGAAACAACCTGCTCATTAATTTTGCCAGTTGGGGCCAGGTTTCTGGCAACAGCGTTTTTCTGAAGTTTGTCACTTGCAAAGGCAGCTCTGCCTAAATAGGGCTGGCAAAGATGTGGATATCAACTCTCACTAGCCCTGGTCCCAGACAGGGATCTAGTTATATAAAACATCTGCAGGGCATCGGATTGCTTCCCTGCAACCCTTTTAGGATATTCCAACTGTAAACTTTGTTCAGGAATTCAACCATTTGCCTTTAGGGTTGCCTTCAACACCGGTGCCAGGAAATTTCTTCAACCGTGCATTACTTTGAAACTTGACAGTAATCCTCTTTGATTGCTGCTCCCGGGGACTTGGAACAGAACCTGGGCTGTTTGGACTACATCTCCCATTCTCCCCAGCTAGGAGGGACATTAAATATCAGACAGTCCCTCCGGAGGACCTAGGACTGGAGAAGGTGGCTCTCAACCCTACCTGTGGTGTTTATTTCTGTGGCTGGCAGCAATTTGGAACAAATCTGAGATTCCCTCCAAATAGGGACTCAGCCTGTTGGTTCCCACCACAAATGCCCTATAAAAGAGACCGATAGCCGGGACGGGGAAGAAGGAATATCCAAGTGGGGAAAAAAAAAATCTGCCTTTGCTCTTGATTTCTCAGCAGAGGTTTTAGGGCCGATGCCAAACCACCCTGAATCCAGACTGTGTCAGCTTTGATCAGACAGCTGGTGAAAGGCCTCGCATCTCTCTAACCCCTGAGTGAATTGGAAACGTGGCTTGTCCGCTACGTGGCCAGGCAGATGAATTAGCTTTGGATTAATCTGTTTGGAAAGCGCTATTTATAGCAGGCTGCCAGGGCCTGGGATGCATTAAATCAAAACTTGGAAGAGGCCTCCTCTCTCTTGGTTAACACTTTTATGGAAGCCCAGCTGCATTTCCATAATCCAAGTTCTCGTCTTGTTAGAGACACCGGCTCCTGTTAGCCTTTGGTGGTCTCCCAGGGCCTGGCTTCTTTGCAGAGTTGAACTTTGATGCCTTCCCAAGTCCTGTTCTGCTTGCAACACTTTTCCTTTGATGTCCAACACGGAGCCCTCCAGGCAGCCCAGCCCTCTTATGTACAGCGTCACTGCCTTCCCATTAAAAGCAACAAAGAGGGTCATTTCCATAAAGTCTCCTGGCAGACACTCAAAGAGAACGTACATTTGCTTGCGGAGAAATAAAAATATGGATTTAACTTCTGGTTTCTCTTGGCCGACCATTTGATCCAGATGGTATAAGGCAGAGGTCTCCAAACTTGGCAACTTTAAGACTTGTGGACTTCAACTCCCAGAATTCTCCAGCCAGGAGAATTCTGGGAGTTGAAGTCCACAAGTCTTAAAGTTGCCAAGTTTGGGGACCTCTGGTATAAGGTCTCCTGCCTTGAGCAGGGTGGAAGGGTTGGACTAGAAGACCTCTGAGGCCCCTTCCATCCCTACAATCTATGTTCTGTGTTGGCTTTGCATAGTGATTCAACCATGTCGGTAATCATGCAATGATATTTGCCATACTATATTATTGAATAGAATAGAATAACAGAGTTGGAAGGGACCTTGGAGGTCTTCTAGTCCAACCCCCTGCTTAGGCAGGAAACCCTACACCACTTCAGACAAATGGCTATCCAATTGGTTAGTATTCTAGTTCTATATGCCCATTAGAGTCAGACCTTGTTCTGGGTTCCAAATCTAGATTTTTTTCCCCCTCCAATGTTGCCACTGTTTGGATCCTTCACCAGAGCACAGTGTACTCCCCAACCCATAGTGCAAAGCTTCTCAAAACCTTGGCAATTATAAGATACGTGGACTTCAACTCCCAGAATTCCCCAGCCAGCACAGGGAATTGCCATAGAGATCAAGAGATTCCTATTTTCCAGATTCCATCCCAGCAGTGTTACAACATTTCATGGTACAAATAATTTAACCAGTTTTCTCGCTCCCCTCTGATTGAAGGTGGAAAATGAAAGAAAAGGCATTTGTTGTTCATTCCCCCTCCGCTCTGTGATAAGTTGGTCAACCTTCTCTAATTTTGCTATTTAGTGGGAGCTACATTTCTGAACAGCTTATACCCAGTCACTCAACCTAATAATTATACAAACCTCGGCCTTTGAAAACTACTGTCCCAGAAAGGTGCTAAGAGATGCAAATGTTTTCCCAACGTGATTTTTTTTTTTTTTTTAAAAAAAAGCAATGCAAATATTTTTCAACCCTTTAAAAAAAAGAGAGAGAGAGAATCTGAAATGGCTTGCTGGCACAAGTTCCCACACTGTCAACTGCAGAAGGATGAATCCATTTGGAATAAATATGCCTGCCTTTGCACGTTACGCATCTGTCAATCAGCAGCGGCCTCCAGTTGCGCTCTTTTTCCGTTCCCATTATTGCAACAATGACAATTCCTCCCTCGCTACTTATCCATAACAAAACCTGGACAAATAATGCACGACTTGTTACCAAATGGATTCTTTTTTATATATGTACATACATATAAAGGTGACGAGGTTGCGTTGAACGGCAGTCAGGTAAATCTGAAACGGGGCCAAAGGAAACTCAAGTAGCCCGAACTAACAGTATTTCTGTGTTACATCAGGCTTTGCCCATGGTCCAAATGAGAGTAAGAGGGTAGGAGTCTTCCAAAGGGGGTGGGGGGAA